TATGAGTTGATGGACATGATACTGACTGTAGCATCACAGGGAAAAAGCCCGACTGCCTAAAAATTTCAGTTTCACTCCTGTACATGTAATAACACCAATCATCTGTTTGTTTCATCTTTCTTTAGAGTTCACTTTTGCCTTTCTGTTCCCTGGTGCAGTGTTAAACCAGCAGGTTGTGTTTATCTGTCTTTGTGGGTGCAGGTGGGAAGTATGTGCCCAGAGCCATCTTGGTTGATCTGGAACCAGGCACTATGGACTCAGTCCGCTCTGGACCCTTTGGACAGATCTTCAGACCTGACAACTTTGTCTTTGGTAAGAACAGGCCCTAATGGAGAGGATGTCAGAGGAGCTTACTCAGTGGAGCTTGTTCAGTTTACTGAGTGACTCTGAGGTAGTTGTAGGATCCTGTACAGCAGTTTTAAAAGATCATGTTTTCTTTTGCATGTTTTAATTTCAAATCAATCATCAAAATGGGGGAAAACAAAACTTTTCAACGCTAGTTTGACAGAAATGTGTGGACAATAAAGCAGGGCACTGCTGTGCTTTCTCTTCTGCACTGCCTGGTGTTTTTCCAGCAATGCGTCACATTAAGGCATCTCATCAGGATCTGAGTATTACCAACATGCCACCGGTTATCATACAACATGCACTGCCCATGTTTACAAAATATACATGCATATTTCTTCCCAGGACAAAGTGGAGCAGGAAACAACTGGGCCAAAGGTCACTACACCGAGGGGGCAGAGCTGGTGGATTCAGTTCTGGACGTGGTGAGGAAGGAGGCCGAGAGCTGCGAGTGCTTACAGGGTTTCCAGCTCACACACTCGCTGGGTGGAGGCACCGGCTCCGGCATGGGCACCCTGCTCATCAGCAAGATCAGGGAGGAGTACCCCGACCGCATCATGAATACCTTCAGTGTGGTGCCCTCTCCTAAGGTAACACATAAACACTGATCCCGAGTACAAAGCAGGGTTAGTTCACAGACACTGCATATTACTGACGTCTCCTTTCAGGCTTTTTATCATCAGAATAAACTGTTGCTACTAGATTGCAGCTTTTATGGAGACATGATATATTTGTTTATAGATAAATTATTGATTTAAGAGTAAATATTTAATTGCAGTGAATGCATTACACTGTTATCTTGTCAGGTCTTGTTATCAGTATTATATTTAATATTGATTTTAATATTAAAACATTTGCCATCTTGATTAATGGACCTGTAATGCACATGAGCTGTGGGGAAAACAAATAATCTACTGAATGGCAAATTACCTGTGTATATAGATTATTTGTGTCAGTCACAGATGATGATTTTCTCTCTGCCTCAGGTGTCGGACACGGTGGTGGAGCCGTACAACGCCACGCTGTCAGTCCACCAGCTGGTAGAAAACACAGATGAGACCTACTGCATTGACAACGAAGCCCTTTATGACATCTGTTTCCGCACTCTCAAACTCACTACACCCACCTATGGTGACCTCAACCACCTGGTTTCAGCCACCATGAGTGGCGTGACCACCTGCCTGCGTTTCCCCGGCCAGCTGAACGCCGACCTGAGGAAACTGGCTGTCAACATGGTGCCCTTCCCTCGTCTCCACTTCTTCATGCCCGGCTTCGCCCCTCTGACCAGCCGGGGCAGCCCGCAG